ACAGCGTAAAATTATCGAATAGAGAATATCTTTAGCCTTATAAGTTGTTGTTCCGAAACATCGCCAACCATTTGAAATGCTCACGCAAATGATAATATTGGCGAAAAAGTTCCCCATCCAATTACGGACAAAGCGACACCGAGTGACAAAGGCATCGGAGAACTTCTTCTGAGAAAAGGGGGGGCGGAATATTCTCTCAATCGCTTGGTACAGCATCTGTACCGAAGCCGAAGTCAAGGGACAAAATTTTTATGGTTCAGCATATGTACCGCCGAAGGGAAAAAGTTAAAGGGGTATAAAACTTTTATACGAAGAACGTTAACCATACATAGTTCAGTAAGATAATTAATAATAATTATCGTTAATGGTAGAAACGTGTTTATTTAACTTTGTGTTGTAAAATAGTGACAACAATGACATACGAGTGAACGTGATGTACAACGCGCAAATGCAGATAACACATGCGCATCAGTCTTCAACGACGCGCATAACGGTCATTTTAGTTTATCTATGATTAATTTGGTGGGCCTTGGTGTTTACACAACACACTGTGCAGTTTTCAACTGTTCTCACCAGGGGACCATTGAATAATTATTTAGTTATAATAATTATTCTATAGTATATTTAGAAAAATAGACATTATTATGAAAAAAAATTGTCATTGTGTATTAAATACATGATGAAAAATTGTAAAATGTCAAATACAATGTATTTGACCGCGGCACACCTGTATCTGGCTCATGACACACCAGTGTGCCGCGGCACACCGGTTGCGGAGCACTGTTCTAGAGGACTAGAAATTTCTTCCTTAGGTAATGTTTTAGTCGTTGTTAAAAATTAAAGCGAACATGAAGCGGTTAAAATTTCTAATCAGTTTTACAACAAATTATTACATATTCATCCAAGCAGACTTTTACCCCACGAAGGCGCATTCTGGATTCTCCAAATTGTTTTTGAATCCATTTTTTTAATAGAATTTTCTAGATGGATGCACACATCCTGTGGAATTCTATATTTTAATGAGAATTTAATTTGCATTATTGTATGTTAACAGAATGTAACTCGTGCGATAGTTTCCCAATAAAAATTTGTATTTTCCATTCATATGAATTTATTTTATTGAAATGAATCGATAATTCTTCTTCTTAAAAGTAATTTTACATGCATCAGATATAGAACAGATTTAATAAAATCGCCGACTCTTTTATTGTAATGAAAATTTTGTGATACTATTAGTATATATGATGCATAAGATATACAGTATCGAAGTAAAAGTTTGTTCTCTTTTGTCGCTCTACTAATTTCTTTATTGCTTATAGAATTTCAGATTTTGTTACCCTATTTCAATTTTTTATGTCAAAGATATAAATAAAGAAGTGTAAATACGAATTTATATCTGGTATATTTTGACATAGATTTGGGAACATTTTTTAATTTGCAGTAGTTTCTTCTAAGTTTTTGCTTAGTAAAAGAACTTTCACTCTTTTTAATATTGCAAAAATTAAGAGAGGTTATTGATTTGTTTCTTTCTGTAAAACATTTGTAGTATTTATTCCTTAAAATAATATTTCGTATTCTTAATGTGATAGAAAATTTTATATTCAAGTATTAATATTGTAGTACGTAAAATTAATTGTAATAAAACATTCTCTCTCTCTCACACACTCATGTACACAGAAATACTGCCATATGTTGAAACATTTTTTTTTTTTTTAAATTTTAAATTTGATGTCAGGTGATCATTTTGACACAAATCATGTTCTGCTAGCGAAGCCATTGGCTGTTTTCTTCTTTTTCTCGCAAGTTGTGTGAAAAAATATTACCTTGTTATTTGAGTTTAAAAGTTTCTTTTCTAATATGTGGAATTGAATTGCAGGCAAAGAAAAAAATCTTGATTTGTTTTGTTTTATTTGTTTATATATCACACACATTTATGATATAATTATAATAATAAAAATTCAGTACTTTTCTTTGAGCATAATCCTTGAGGACTGAAACAAAATCTTTATTTAAATTATGAAACATAAACTACTGAAAAATAACTATTTGTTGAATAATTGCTCAAACATTTGATACAATCCTCAAAAAATAACTTCATAATGAGATTATTCACCCAAGGGGCAGAAGCGGGTGAATCAGTTAGCAAGAGTATTATTTTAATTTAGCAAAAGACAGATGTAGCCATGCTGCGCCAAATAAGATGAGTGAGTGAGTGTAAAGCTGTGGTCTCGATGTATGAAAAAAATGGGAAAGGATAAAATGTTTTATAAGGACCGTAAATAGAAAAGGTTCGCTAGGGTATCCTGGGTGTGCTTCACCAATGTTTAACAAATGCAGTAAACCCCATAGGAAAGAAAAAGATCACTAGGATGTCTCACCTCGCGAGTCATGATGCCCGCACTTACCTAAAGTAGGTGTGATCCTGAGGTGGTCCCCTGATATAAACCCCAGGGGCAGATGCCCGACTTTACCCTCATACACTGGATATTCATTTTAGTCGTCTCTTGCGATATGTATGAACTAAAGTGGAACTAACACCCGGTCATCACACGAATGAATCATTTACAACAATAGTGTTCAGACGTCACGATAGGTGGCGCTGATTATGCTTCGCCTAAATATGTATGTAACGAGAATGATTTGAAATTAAGATGGAAAACAGACGGAGACGAAACAGCTTTCATGTTATTGTCCGGCACCAAATAGTTCGGCAGAAAAAAGTAAAATAAAACTCTTTGCGGTCTCAATAAGGCTAAACTATTTCGAATTGTGTAATCTATGAATTGTTCGGTTATTAGAACTTTGGTTCCGTAAATGAACAAGAAACGAATAGTTTTTCTTCACACTATGTTACAGGTTTTAAATGCGTAATACACCAAGTGCTTAAAAGTGTATAATCGTTATAGTCTTCAATCTTTACTCAAAACGAAGAGGCGACCTTCGCAACTGACACTGAAAACGTATTATCCATTGCAAAACATTTTTGTGGTATATTTGATTCAACTAAATACAATTAAAAAAATTCTTACCTTTGGAGGCTCATTAAGGCTACCCGACATTTTGATTTCGTCAGCTTAATGTTAATCCTATGTAATATCGATCTCAAATTTTCACTATTACATCTATTTGAAAGTATCTCACTTTTTATATTTCGAAAAGATACTTGAAAGCATCTTTCCTTCTAACCATGTTTCCTGCAAATGTTTGCCAATAGCTGGTCAATGCCTCTAGGAAAGAAGTATTTATATAAACACTTATTCATATTAAAGTGGTTTTGAAAAAAGGCACATATATTTCTGTGTGGAATATTTAAGGTTTCCGGGTCGTTTCATTGATTAAAGTTCTTACGCTTTCAGTGAGATATACAGTTTTACTTTTATGTGGGAAACTACTGAAATGCAGTGACGTAAAGTAATAATAATAAAATCCTCCAACAGCATTAAGACATTCGAAATGTTGATCTATGGGAGGAGCAGTTTGAAAGATGCCAAATCTCTTACATTTTCCTTTATATTTATTTAGCAGACATGAACACTTATGACAAAAACTGAAAGCTCTTGATTAATGTGAAGTCAATTATGTTGTAGAATAATTATCATTCTTTAAGTATCTTTATGTCCAAGTTGTTCATGAGCCTATTGTAAAACATTTCTTCTGAGAGAAAAAGGTACAGCTATCTTAAACAAATTTGTTTTTTCAACAAAAAGTGCATCATTAATGTTTTTATATATTGAAATTGTCTAAATATCGATAATGTTTTCTCTCATCCAGTTAGAATAAATGCGCGAAGTGTTGGATATATTGGGTCGTAGGATGCCTTGATAACATGTCATCTTTAACTGTTCCCCCCTTTTAAGTATTTAACTTCATAATCAACCATCTTTAATTTCAAAGACCATTTAAACAACAGATACCTTACTTTTTTAAATATTTTTAGTCAAATGAGGTCAGCATGATCTGTATGGATTGTTGGAGAATGTCTTATCCACCAAGTCCAAAATATAGGGAGAGCAGTTAATTTAAATTACACATTTATTTTAGGACTCCACGTGCCAATCACACATAAACAAATATTTACATTATTTACAACTACAGAAGGCTTCCACATAGCCTATATTACAATTTAACCCGCTTTTTGCGGTCAGGAGAAATAACCCGCTTTACGCGGTCAAGAGTAATAACCCGCTTTACGCGGTCAAGAAAAATAACCCGCCTTACGCGGTCAAGATCTAAGAGCATTCTGATGAATATTACCCATGAACCCGTGCGCTCTCACTCATACGAGACAAAGCGCCTCCTGGCGGGATCCGAGTAATTTATTTCCAACATGGATTACGAGTTTTTTTCCAAGTAAGTAATAATATAATTTATCAAGGACATCTACTACATCCAAACTTTCCAGTGGTGTTATACAATAATTGTGTTCCTTATTTCTTAAAGTCCTAATAGTATATGACGTTAGTTGGTTTCATTAACATCGCACTAAAAGCATCACGAGGGCTATTGGCAACGGATCTCGTAATTCTGAACCTCTGTCAAGTTTCGAGGCCGACACATGACCTGTCATCTCCTCTCCTAATTTCCACAACACGCTGAAGGGAAATTTTCACCCATGACAAATTGAACGTGCATGAGCTCCAGCTACATGAAAGAGCTTTAGTGACATCAAGGCTCGAACTCAAGACTTAACGAAAACCACCGACCATGAGTCCGTTGCCATAACCACTAGGATATAGCGGTCCCAGAAGATGACAATGGATGTAATTTACCAGAACTATCAGGCTACTTTATAGCAGCTCCAAGGAAAACTTGAGTAGCCTCACAAAATACACGAAGAGATAATTTAGGATCGTACAATTACATGCTACACATGCGTATTTATTAATTTAATTTTGAATAATTCAAAAGCCTTTTGACATTTATCTATCCGTATCCATTGTTGATCTTTTTTAGGTAGGTAGTTTGAAGATACTCTAATTTGAGCATAATAATCTATTAACTTATTATAAATTTTTATAGAAACAAGAAACCTTTGAAGATATTATTTTACACTTTTGGTGGTTGCAATTTTATGTTTTCAATCTTATGATTAGCTAGACAGATGCATCGATCTCTTTGACCTCATAACTGGAGAAATTAAATTTATCGTTCGCAAAAAACATTTAGAAAATTTTAATTAGTTTTCTATTTGGCACATGTAAAATATTTGTTTCAGGTGATCCTATTGTTCTTCTAAGAAATTTCAGAATACCACTATAACACATGGATCAATAAGTTCCGAGACTAACCCAGAGATGGCGCTCGTAGTAAACCAGTAACCAGGTCTTTCTAGAGTACTAACCTTTGCTTGAAACGTGTCAAAATTTTAAGTCGATCGGACCAGAAACAGCTGAGTTATCGAGGTTGGAGTAAAGTCGTTTTGTAGTTTGTTTAAAAAATGGAAAAAACCGAGTTTCGTGTTCTGATAAAACATTGTTTTTTAATGGGTAAAAACACCGTGCAAGCGAAACAATGGATTGAAAAATGTTACCCGGACTCTTGTCCATCAAAAGCAACGATTTGTCGGTGGTTTGCCGAGTTTAAACGTGGTCGTACCGACACAAATGACGCGGAACGCTCGGGTAGACCTGTGGAAGCCGTTACACCGGAAAATGTGAGTGAAGTGACAAAAATTATAATGAAAGATCGTAAAGTGAAGCTCCGTGAGATTGCTGAGATGACACAGATATCATATGGAAGTGTATTTACTATCCTTCATGAAAAATTGAGCATGAAAAAGGTTTTTTCCAAGTGGGTGCCGCGATTGCTTTCGATGGAACAAAAACAGCAACGAGTCGATGATTCAGAAAGCTGTTTATCGCTATTTACTCGCAACAAAAAAGATTTCTTGCGTCGTTACGGGACCATGGACGAAACATGGATACATCACTACACTCCAGAGTCGAAGCGGCAGTGGCGCACAGCTGGCGAAAGCCGTCCGAAAACGCAGCAGTCAGCTGGCAAAGTGATGGCGTCAGTTTTTTGGGATACGCATGGCGTGATTTTCATTGACTACCTCGAAAAAGGTAAATCGATCAACAGTGATTATTATATTGACTTGCTGGTGCGTTTGAAGGAGGAAATCGCAAAAAAAAACGACCGCACAGTCTCGGGACTTATTGATCCATGTGTTATAAGTTAAAAAAGCTTTATTTTATATGTATTCACCTTTCTAATTTGACGTATTTGAATCAAAATAATATTGGAAATTGAATTCTCTACAATCTTCAAGAGAAATTATGGAAAAAAACATTCACTTCTTAATCATAAATTATATTCAGAATTGTAATGGAAGTATGTCATTGTAACCAACAGTTTAAGGTATGTTAAAAAAATGTAATTAGGACGCCCTTGGAACTATTCGACAAAGAGCACTTCAGTTGATATCACTATTCCGAACATTCATGGTACGACCGATAAATAACTATTTGAAGATGTAAAGGAGTCAAATATCAACAACACCATCCATGGAATTCATACTATAGTTTGCATAAGAATCGGGAATATTTCCATTAGAATTTTGTGAGTATTATAAGGTGCAATTAAATAAACCGATATTATGATGGAGTGAAACACAGATTTAACCACACTTTTTCTAAATGTATAATGTTTAAATCTTCTAAATGGGATGACGGCTGGAGGTTAAAAACCCGAGAGTTAGGTCCAGTGTCAGGTTGGCTTAAAATCCCCACAATAAGCCAAAGAAAGAGAATGAAGATGCTTAATTCCTTTTCATATAACTTAGTGTCAGCTTTCAAGTTCAGCGCAAATGAATTTAATTGAGAGTTTCATTCTTAAGTAAGTAATTTGCATTCTATTCCGCTTGGACTCTCAACCGGTGGTTTTCATCAACTTGTAGGTTCGGAAATTGATGTCATCAAATACCTGCCGTAAAGCCGGGGCTGTTTCTTTTTAAATATGTCGGTGCTCAAAGTCCTCCCTTGAGTGTGGTGAGCAAGTCAATATAATAATCAACAGTGATTATTATATTGACTTGCTGGTGCGTTTGAAGGAGGAAATCGCAAAAAAAAAACGACCGCACATGCAGAGAAAAAAAATCCTTTTTCACCAAGACAATGCACCCTGCCACAAGTCGATGAAAACAATGGCAAAATTGAACGAATTGGGCTTTGATCTGTTTCCCCACCCCCCATACTCGCCAGATTTAGCCCCCAGTGACTACTGGCTCTTTGCTGATCTTAAAAAAAATGCTCCAGGGAAAAAGATTTGGCTCAAATGAGGAGGTCATCGCTGAAACTGAAGCTTATTTTGAAGCGAAAGATAATTTTTTTTTATAAACATGGTATTGAAAAATTGGAAAAGCGTTGGAACGATTATATCACCCTAAAAGGTGATTATGTTGATGAATAAAAAAAAAATTTGCAAAAAAAATGTTGTTTTCAATGTTAGTCTCGGGACTTATTGATCCATTTGTTATATTTAATAGCGCGATTCTCCCTTCACGGTCAATACTATCGTATGTGTGACGAGTGTTTGCTGGCCACCGGGCATACGATCACACTGAGGGATTTCAAATAGGAAAGTTTTATTTGAATTTTTAACGGTCATTAGATGGAGGTAAAAGACCATTACATTTTCAAATACCATTCCACATAGTGTTGACCTTCAATTCCCGCTTTTGATTTCGAGTTTTGTTTTGTTTTGTTTGCTTTTACTGTTGAATCAGGAGAATTTTGAAATGTTTCGAAATGTATCGTAAATTTGAAAAGTTTTAAGTAACTATTATTCAGTAATTTTATTTCACTTTTTTTTTTGTATTTAGTTCTCCAATTTTTATCTATATTTTAACTACTAGTAAATTAAATATTTCTGCCTTTTATATTATTGTTATTTTCATAGATATAATATTTTTTTTTTTATCAAAATGATTATATTTTCTTTAAAATTCGTAACTTTTTCTTTAAATATCACAAAAAATTTTCTGCCGTGTATTTAGATGCTATCAATGATAATAATACGAAGTTTCGGCGTATTTAATCGCAGAGAGGATTTTAAATGAAATTAAACTTAGTGAGGAATATCTTCCTGTCCCGTGCATTCGTACACTTCCAGAGCGCGCAAGGCCTGAAGATTTGGTTCTTTCTCCTTTCGTTGGTCTTTAAAGGGTGTTGAGAA